TCTTGTTTACTCCTTTCTGTAATTTTCCCCCTCTTGGTTGGGATGTTTTTTTTTTTAAAGAATAGTCTCCAATTTGTTATTCTTTTTCTTCAGCTGTGTTCTGATCAGAGCTCTCGATCAGCCTTTGTTTCCTCAGGCTACATTGACTGGATGGAGATATATTTTGACATGCCAATGCTTCCAAAACGGCCCTGGTGAAATGCAACCGCAAGGAGCTCACTAGCTGTTTCCCAGGGAAACAGAGATTTAGATATACATTGATTCAAAAGTGTGCTTTCAAACTGAATTAAAATGGTGCTTCTTTTGAAAAAATGTTGTAGAGAGGATCAAAATATGTTAACGTCAATCAAACAAACAACAAAAAAAAACAACAAAAATTGGTAATTATAGAAAAGTCTGTTGCAGTAAGTCAAAACTTAATTTATACAATGTACGAGTTATGATTTTGCACCAAAACTTTGTACAAAATATTTTAGTACGTTTGTACTAAAATGAGTAAAATGGCAAACACTGATTGTTTTTTTTTTTGGAGGATGAGGGTACATCATGCAACCTGTTCATGTTGGCATCTACCACATCCAACAAAAATTGGTAATTATAGAAAAGTCTGTTGCAGTAAGTCAAAACTTAATTTATACAATGTACGAGTTATGATTTTGCACCAAAACTTCGTACAAAATATTTTAGTACGTTTGTACTAAAATGAGTAAAATGGCAAACACTGATTGTTTTTTTTTTTGGAGGATGAGGGTACATCATGCAACCTGTTCATGTTGGCATCTACCACATTCTGCTGGCACCAAGTGGGTGAATTTGTGCCAAAGTACCTTAGAGTTTGATTGGACAAATGGCCTATGACAACAGAAGATATGTGAGATGTTTCCTTCTTCATTTTCTAAACTGATAATCCTATTATTTAGCCAAGTATCAGATGCATTTTATGTTTTGCATTTAGCTTTGTTAAGTGAAACTAGTCTCATATCAGTTCTAAAAGGGCAGTTTCAACAAACCACTCATTAGTCTTCAAGAGTTCAATTTATACAACTGAGAATAATAACGGCATGCATATTTTATGTATTCAGCAGAGCAGTGCCCTCTTATCTTATTGAAAATATTCAATCCATAAACCACACTGTAAAGGAAGTTGGCGCAAATCATTGGTAAAAATCTGTGAGGAGCATGAGAAATCCATTGAGAATTTCTTAGCAGCTTTTAAGCTTTGCTTTGTCTAGGTGCAAGACGTTTTACAGTTTAATTAGGAAGGAATGAGTGAGATAAAAATGCATGAGCACACATTTATGTAGAGGTTGTTTAGTTGTACGTGGTGCATGAATTTGTGAGATAGTGGGAAGTCTGGTAAAGCACAGCATCTTTTCAGTCTTTGGTGTACAACGTGATAAAGATCTGTAAGAACATAAACAGAACTCATATGACTAAGTAGAATTTTCTGTGAATATACAGAACACTCAACCTAGTCACTTGTGGAGAATCCAATAGCTTAGACCCATCCTATATGGTACAATGAGAAGTGGCATTAAATCTATGCACGACCTGGGACTATAAATGTAAAAAGTTTTGCATAAAATTAATCAAGGGCACAGAAGGTGGAAGAATGAGCTTCTTACATCACTGCTTAATAAAGTTCTGAAGATTCATGAAAACATTTGTGCATCTAGGCTGAGAAGGACCAGAGGGGTGTGACTCTTTCCAAAGGTGTTTTTATCCTTCTTTAGAGCATCTTGGCCATTAAAATTCTGCTCAGATTGTCAAACAAACCTCATGAAAACGACAGCTCCATGTAAAATGCAACAGCCCAATAAACTGAAGATAATTTCATCAGCATTATTAGCTAGCATGAGCTATGATGAGATCAGAAGCAATTCTAGCTTAACTTAGAAATACTTGTACAATTCTGTTAACCTGATGATCTAAAACCTAAATGCAGGGAATCATTGCCAGTGAATCTTCTAAGCTTTTGCTGCTCTGAACATACAGCATATAGTTAAATCAAACCTGTCAAAGCTGCCACTGCTAATGCATAATATTACTAACAATGAGAATGACTAACAATGCTAATGCACAGTTATTACAATGAGAATCCTGCCTTAATGTGTTTGTTACTACACTTAAATGAACAGCTTTAGGTGACATAATACACAATCCGCCTGCTTGAAACAAGACCAGCTGAATGTCCTGAAGAGGCCTGGATTGTCGTTTGGAGACAGGCAAGGCTTTATTTTCAGGGAATGATCCAACCTAGCGGAGGAAGTTATTGATCAGTCTAAGCGCAGTATATTTTAAAAATGGGACCTTTGCAGCTTGTAATCATGATGAGAACTGTTGTGTTGAAAAACAGTGATTTCTTGTGTGAGCTGCTATTTTACTAGAGGTATCAACCACATGTTCAAGGCTGGGCTGTAAATCTTTTATACTGGGAAGTCTAGATCATGCAAAAAGGTCAGTAGTGAGGGTTTTACAGATTCCTAGTTTCCTAGTAGTCAGCAAAAATAAATGTACCATTTCCTGATAAATGCACATTTGTTGCATTGCACATGTATTCCTTGAATACATATGCCTTTTATGCCGTTGTTTGTCATTGTTTTATCTACTTTTCTAATTTTGTGCATTAAAAAAAAAAAACTATGAAAATGAAGATGCATTTATGCGTACGGTCAATTTCAAAATTTGCTTAATTGCCTCAGATTAAAATCGTATTTACTTAAATATCATTTCAGATCCGTATTAATCACATTTTCATACGCCTGCCTGCAAGTACTCTGCCACTTCAGTCCAGCTGTAATCTGCAGCATAATGCAACCAGTAGGGGTTAGTGTCGAGACAGCGGGAGAGGGCAAAAATCCATCTTCCTTCTAATTTGAGCATATGTGTATCATAGCGCTAAACTGTCATCAATACAATCTCCTCTGGTCCCCCCAGGCTGCAGAAGAGCAGATAAATGTACTACAGTTTAGGCTTTTTCCTGACTGGCCATGCCAAATCATAGCAATTTATTGCATTTAAGGGATTTTTAGAATAACAAAAATGCTTTGTTTATTAAATATTTATCTTTTATGAATCAATTTTACCCTTTAGAACATCCCTAAAGAAGGACTGAGTCAAATTTAACAAACTTCTCGGCCCAGTTTTGCAATTGTAAACTAACATGCACTTGCACACTTCTGGTTTTCAATCATAGTTGGAACTTTTCATTTCATACTTTTTACTATTTTGGTAACAAGCTAATGATATTTTCACTTTGACCTAGTGATATCTCCTAACTTCAACTGTTTTACAATTTCTAGTACTCAGTACCGTTTTCAGATCTCAACTGTGTGTGTGCGTAGGTGTTTTCTGGTTCAACTATCCTTACTGTATTTGGTCTCCACGATAAAGGCAAAACCTGACCCTAACACATATCATAAAGCAGCATGTGATCATCTAAAACTCCTCCCGTCTCTGCTAAAGAAAGGTATCCCATTGTCGCAGCCCATGTGCGCTGATGTGTGAGGATGTGGCTATCCTTGCTGGGCTCCTGCAGTTTTGTCCCTGTCAACATAGAGCGCCTTGTCTGGTCACAGCATCCTCGCACACCTGGATGACAGGAGAATAAATGCCACTGCTGCATGCGTGCACGTGCCAAACCTACAAGATCTGCCCCTTCTTAGTTACACGCACAAGAAACAACACATGTTCAGGAATGTGTGTTGTTTATTGTTATTGGGTATGATAAAAAATAAAATGGAGTATGATATGAAATGAGGCATCCAGTCAGTTTAAATGCAGTTTGAGCAATTGAAGCACCATGAGCTGTGCAAACAGTCATCTTAAAGGAATAATTCCCCCTAAAAAATGAAGATTCTGTCGTCATTTACCCTCATGTCGTTCCAAATCCGTATTCTTCCGACTTCTTTTGTGTTCGCAAAAGAAAGAATGCTCAAGTCACTCTTTTTTGATACATAGGCACTAATTAGGAGATGCTTCAAATACGATGCAAACTCACCATAAAAGTACCATAAAGGTAGTCCGCGTGGATTACGGGGTAGGGCAGGTTAAGTGTCAAGTCTTCTGAAGTCAAACATTAGCGAATAATTGCCTTACAACCCTCCACTTTAGTGAGATGTCATCGGCTGCAATTGAATCACTGAATTAGTGAGTTGAACTTGGGAACCGGATCAGTTCATATGAACTAACAATTCCGGTAGGTAAACTGAATCAGCAGATTCAATTAAAAGGTCCACTTCCGGCAAATGGTTCGTGAGAGTTACGATTTAAACAATGACATAATCGCTATATGACTTCATAAGTCGTTTGGACTACATTATTGGTACGTTTGTTTTTATTTGTCTTCCTTTTTGAGGCTTGACATCTTCAATTACCATACATTGTAAATACATGGCTAATTTAATTAATACATTCACATAGGCTATATGACATAACGTGTACATTTATTATTATTATTAGTAGTAGTAGTAGTAGTATTAGTATTATTATTTAATTTTGTGTTTTATTTAATAATAATAATAATAATAATAATAATAATAATAATAATAATAATCTTCCTTTTTGAGGCTTGACATCTTCAATTACCATACATTGTAAATACATGGCCAATTTAATTAATACATTCACATAGGCTATATGACATAACGTGTACATTTATTATTATTATTATTATTAGTAGTAGTAGTATTAGTATTATTATTTAATTTTGTGTTTTATTTAATAATAATAATAATAATAATAATAATAATAATTTATACATGTTGCATAATTAGGTACATCAGAAATGCGAAGTGGTAATCCAGCCCAGGCAGATGTATTTGTGCTTAAACAGAAAAATGCTTTTACAGCTTGAATAGGCATTCATTTTAATGCAATTCGCTAGATATATATATATACATTTTTTTTTATACTTTCAACCGTAATACGCACGATGTCGTTATGCCCAATTCGCGCTCTCTTTCTCTCTCTCCCTCACTCTCTCTCTCCCTAGACGCAGCAGCGGCTTGGCTTGGATTCAGTACCTCCCCTATGTGCTGCCTTACTCCATCATCACATCCCTGAACGTGAGCGGTGTAGCTGAGGAGCACTTCTTTAAAACCCGACACTTCGCTGGAGTTGCTTCCCCTGCGCGTCTGAGAGTCAGAGGGAGGGGAGAAGCATTCCCCAAAATCTCTTCTTACGATGGAGACTCGTCTGGTTGTATTCCCTGGCGCTCACTTTACTCTTTCTACCTGGCTAATTCTTTCCTCCTTGTATGTTTTTCCAAATGTAAAGGCAGAAATAAGTTGCGCGCCATGTATGTCGCCAATGCGAGTGAATTACGCAGGGGATGAGCGTCTGCGTGACCCGCATGATTCTGGGAAATATATGAGACCGGATCAAAAGAAACCCAAGCTGATCACAGTTCTTTACCCGAATGTTGGAGTACCCACTGGACTAGAGGTGGATGGTTTTCCAGGGATCGCGCCGAAATTGGAAAGAAACGCGGAGGGGATAAACTCCCGTGCGCCTTTGGGGAACTTCACCGAGTCCGCTTTAGATGAAGAATTGTTTTCGGATGAATATGTGAAAAGTGAATCTGTATTGGAATCCGAGGACGCCGCGTTAGGGAGAGCCAAAAGAAGCGTGCCCGAGTTTCTGGAGAGCGCGCGGAGCGCTGATGCGCGCTCGGAGGAGCAGAGAAAAACCTCCGGTCTGCGGGTGGATGGACAGAGTAAACGCGCCGAAGTTCGCTGGAACAAGGATGATGAGCATGATGGCAGAGTATCGGATTCCAGACCAGACGAACCCAAGCTGACCAGCAGCACTTTTGCTCTGGCTGGAGACTCCGCACACAACCACGCAGTCGTGTACTGGACTGGAAAAAACAGCAGTGTAAGTCCGCAACATCCTGTACTTCTTTGCAGTAATATAACATATGCTATTTAGTTATCTAGACCATGCTGTCTTGTTTAGCTTTCAGGTTCCTTGTCAATTTCAGTTGTTGTCACTGTGAAGGCATGCACATGTTGTTTTGAGTCCATAGGGTTTATAATGAGCATTTCAACCCAACCTGCCCTGAAATGATGGCCTTAAACAGCCCTGTTGAAAATACCACCTTAAACCATTCTAAGCTAGCAATCAGGCTGGTTTTACAGGGGTTTTGGCACTTTTCAGCTTGGGAAGAATCTCGTAAACCAGCTTAGACCAGCAAACCAGCTTAGTCTTTTGAGCAGAGATGATCTAAATGTTTACAGAAAACACCTGTTCAGAGTGATAGCCACCTGTTTGTCAAAGAGATCTAGCAATGCGCTGGAATGTAATTCATAATGTTACTATGATTACATTCAGTTCAAATAACCATTCACCTTCGGGAGTTTATTTCTAAATTGCCTTAGTTAAATCGACTAGGGGCAAAGTCTGGAAATATGCTTTGAATGCAATATCTTTCTGCACTGTCTGTATATTTTTTCCGATGAAATGATTTGCTTGTAGAGCAGGTTGTTGGCTAGAGCCTCCTGGCTCTGCAGTGCTGTCTGTGTTTTTGGACAGGAGATTTTTTTGGACTGGCAAGATAGGAGACTTTATAATACTTAACATCTCAATAATTCAGGGATCCATCTAGTCGATTTTCTAGACAGAGGCACACGGGCCAAACAACAAAAAGAATAGATATATATATATACATACATACAGTATATACTGTATATATATATATATATATATATATATATATATATATATATATATATATATATATATATATATATATATATACATACACATATACACATAACCACACCAATCTTAATAACTACTACATCATTCATTCATTTATAAGTGATATATAATTGTTAACAAGGACTGAAAAAAAATTAAAAAGTCTTATACTCAGATGTGCATAATTATTAAGCAGGTTTTTCCTTTATGGGTAATATGTGCAACAACAACAAAAAAAGACTGAAAAGTAAAAAACTAATAAAATAAAAATTATATATACATATATATATATATATATGCACACACACGCACACACACATATATACATATAAACTTGTTTTTAAATGCTAAAGTTAAACAGAACTGAGAACTTGGATTTAAGCAAGTCTGCAGTGTATTGCCTGGATGTTTGGATTTTGTTACAGACAGGTGGTGTTTGATGAGATATGTGTGTGTGAGATATTAGTGTGAGAGAGGATATATAAAAGCAGATTTTCTGTGTGATTTTCAAGCAGTTTCTCATATTTATGGGCCTGTATATATGTGAAATAATTTCTCCAGGAGTATGAGGTGAAGTTATATAAATTAGACTCATCCTTCTCAAATGAACCACCTCATCCATTATTGTCTTTCTTTGTGCCTGTTTGCACAAAAAATACTATAAATCAAAACAGATAGTCCAGCGTTTTCGGGCCCTGTCTAGACATATTACATCTATCTTTATTAACTTGTTTAGTAGCTGTCAGTGAAACAGCCACAGCAATTTTAGGCAAGGGTTACTGCCCGCCAGGTCCCGTCCCTCATCCCTGCAGCTGTAAATCTCCTATAATTATCTTCCGGACTGAGGCAGCCATTTTGAAAGATTTTGTCCTGTTCAGGGACTGCCTACTCAAGTGTGTTTCCCTGCTTGCATGCCTGCTGGAGAGCTTTGTCTTCATTGGCTGGAGGTTTTATGAGAGATGAATGAAGATTGCAAGGACAGAGTGTGTGATTTTTTTTTTCCTCTAGCAATGTTTCCTAACAATAATGTTATGTATGCAAAACTTTTTGTGCAATATTTTCAGCTGTCTGTTCTCAATAACTGCTGTCATGTAAGATATGCTTTACCATGTTACTCAGGAGGCACTGCGGTACATTTCCAGAAAAAACAAAAAGTTTGGACATGCATGAGTGAATATGCTTGGCATTAACAAACTTTTTGATCTATAGGTTAATGCTTAGAAAATAAATAAATAAACAAATAAATTAATAAATTAATATTATATAATTTTTAAAATATGTATTAATTTATTATTTTTATGATTATTATTTGTAAATATTTGTTATATTAATTTATTTCTTCTTAGTATTTATTTATTAATTTATTTTTAGTTGATACATTGGACTTTCCCCAGCATACATGTGAAGCATTCCTTCAATTATGTTACAAAAGTATCCCTAGATGCACTTCATGAAGTCGACTGAGAGAATCCAGAAGCTAAAATTTAACAACTTTTGGTCACACTATTATTATGGCTACTATTGCTTTAAGTTCTAAAATTTTGTGAAGTAATAATAAAGAATACTGTAAGTTTGTCCAAACTTTTCATAATGTATGTTTCTCACCATTTTAAGAGATATTTTAGCTTCAAAAGAAGTACTGACTATAGGTGGAGAAAAGGATCCACTCCACTGAAGCTTATCACTGGTGTTTTGAGGTTTAAGCTCAATGTCATTTATTTATTTTATGATTCACGTATCCCATCATGCTTTTGATGTCATGCATTCAAAAGGAAAATAAAGCATCCAATTTGCATACGATTCAAGTTGTAAGCCTGGCACGCTTCAGTGGCTTCTGATGTAGTCCTGCTTCACTGAGATTGGGTCATTCTTATAGACCCTGTTGTCATATTCTCCAAGGATCTCTTTGAAACACCTCACTGAAAGGCTAAGTATAAAATACCAGCAGTAAATGAGCTCTGTCAAATAGCGTTTCCCTGAAGTGGTGTGCTGCTTCATTTGCGCTTTCATGCGATTCACTAAAAATGGTGGTCAACTGCATGACTTTTTTGGCATTGGTTTGCTGGTTTAAAACCGGACGTTTCAAATGGTAATCCAGGTTAGTGCTTAGCTATATTCCGCATTTATCACCATATCTAGTTGGAATTTATTTAGGACCATCTGGTTGTTTTTACATCCGAATGGCTTCATCAGTTTGAAGGACAGTGGAGGTTCTCTGATATGTAACCTCAGGGAATTGCTACTCTCCTGGTGTGAATCTCGATTGCTGTGTGAATTGGGAAAACAGCATTGTGAGTTGTTGATGACTGTTCTAGTCTAAGGCCTCCTTCACTCCTCTGTCAAACCATCTGTTCCCGTATACAGTCTTTATATAACTGAACATGTGCTCCAGAAGTCCGGCCTGGAGGTATTTGCCCTCCTGTGTTGAACGATGTTGGCTCATAAAGGAGTTATTTTCATTTTCGAGGCGCATCCTTCAGGTTTCTGTCTCAGTTTGCTGGGAGGCTTCAAATGTACTAGGGTGGTGTTTGCTAGCTGGGGTGTCCACAAAGGATAAAAAAAAGATAACTTAATTAAAAAAATATAATCTTCTAAACAAGCAAAACTCATGCCATTGATTGAGCAAGAAGAAGGTGCAGTTTGTGATATCAGTTTACAAAGCGCAGTAAACTATGATATCACAAACTTCACCTTCTTAAAACATTTTTTTTAAATCTTTTGTTTGGTACCTCAGAAATTTTAATGCATACTGTACAATCCAAGAAGACTAGTTAGTTGTCTTTTCATCCTTGTGTAAAGTTAATATCGCTTAAATTGTTTTGACAGGTTTAAACTATATCTATTTTTTTTGTATATGGTATAGCTTAGAATGTGGCCCATACTTACTGTACTCTGCCGTTTAAAAAAAATAAAGAAAGAAATTAATAGTTTTATTCTGCAAGGATGCATGAAATTTATCAAAAGCAACACTAAATACATTTATAATGTTACAAAAGATTTTGTTTTCAAATAAATGCTGTTCATTTTGTACTTTCTATTCTTCAAAGGTGACAAAATATGAAGCAGCACAACTGTTTTCAACTGTGATAATAATTAGAAATGTTTCTTGAGCATCAAATCAGAATATTAGAATTATTTCTGAAGGATCATGTGATCATGTGAGTAATGATGCTGAAAATTCTGCTTTGCCATTACTGGAATGAAAATATATTAAAACAGAATACAATTCTTTTAAATGATAATAATATTACAGTTTTTACTGTATTTGATCAAATAAATGCAGCCTTGGAGAGTATAAGAAATGTCTTTCAAAAACAATAAAAAAAACAAAAAACTTTTGAACAGTAGTGTATATTGGATTGCATTATGTAATATTAATAAATATGTTTATAAAGATGGCTAGATGCTTTTCAGTGGTTTGCTACTGTGACACTTGACTTTCAAGAATGCTTCATTATTTCAAGCACTCTTGGCTAGCCAAACCCATTTAGTCACCAATAACTCAAGAATGGCAAGATAAATCTTCAACAACCTTGCACACTCCTGAACATGATTTAGTACCACTAATGCACTGTAAAGCGCTTCGTTTATTTAGTGTGGATGCTAATTACTAGTAAAGGAGGCTATGGAATGTCATAAATAATTGAGCTATCCTAATGTAATGCCCCCCAACCGCCAATGTGTTTACACATTTGTTTTCCAGCCCCTTTTTTATGCAGCTGAGGTCTTCCTGGTGAGAGCCGGTGGTACAGTCAGGGGATTTATTTCTAGGATTGACTTTGGAGACCAAGGCGTGGCTGCCTTTCCATGATTTGTGAACAAAATCATGCTCCGCTACCTCCAAGTAAAAGTAGACAAATTTTGAGGATACACAATGAAAATAAGTGAGAAAATATAAAAGTGAAGTGTGTTGTTGGTGGTGTTGATTTCACCAATTATATAAAGTTTCTTCTTCACTTTTAAATATATTCAAAGCTATTAATTTATGAAGAAATCCACAATTATGAAATGCATGAATATGTCCAAGAACTTAGTGTCACAATCTTTTGTTATCTGAACTGCAAAAACGTCATTTCCTTTTATTTACCTCACCATTTATATGGCATGTACCTCCCTAGTGTTCAGCACTTCAAGCTTTGTGTGCCACATACCACGTCAACATATCAGACATCCTC